ATCAAAACAAATAACAGATTACATTATTAGATAATATATTGCAAATTTAATAAAAATCTCAATAGTCATAAATAAACAAGTTGATAAATATTAAATTATTTCGACTTTTATACAAAGCAAATTAAGATTTTATTTTATGACGTAACTAACGTGCCCTTAACATGTATACAGGTACAGGGGCGTGCTGGGCCGCCGGGACACCGGGCGAATGCCCGGTGGCCTGCGCTACCATGGTGGTCTGCTGGACTTGTTATGGTATGCAAATAGAAAAAAGATTTTTATACCAAACAAAAAGTTTTTTCAAGTTATATCACTAAACACTAAAATAAATTAAAAAAAAGAAAGTTTTAATTGACTCCCGTAAAAAATGTAAAAAACGTATTTTTTATGCTAACCCTTAACCAAGAAGTCGCAGGTGGAAACCCTAAAGCGTGGGGATATTTTGGATGCTTTTGTAATTATTTTTCAGTTTCTTTGGAAATCCAAACTGATCCGGGGCCACTTATGCAATTTTAGACAATTTATAAATTATCGGAAAGGGGGGATCACCTCGGATTTATAGAGAAACAGAAACATAATTACAAAAGCATCCAAAAAAGCCCCCTCTCGCAGTTTTTGTGATAACACTTTCCTTTAAATTAGTGTGAAGTGACATAAATTTGGAAGCTTTTAAAAGGGCCGCACCAAGTGTTTTTGCCGCCGGGTGCAATTAAAAGCTCCCCTTAAAGAAAAAAAATCTTAAAAGCACTATTTTAACTTGGCTGTGGCGTGGTTTTTCGGGATCTGCTCCGTGTTGTCGGTTTTTGGTTCTTAAAAGAACCGTATGTCTGATGACGTTTCGGTACAATCTCATGTACCATCTTGAAGATGGCATCTTCAGATCTTATCTGCTGGGCTGCTGTTGCTGCTCTGCTGCGAGTTAGACGTGTAACGTATAACATTACAAAATAATTTACTAGAACTACCCCTAAAAGCTAGGCTTTGCTTAGCTAAAAATTTAACAACCGATATAATTCTTTCTAAAACAAAAAACCATATTTTCTGTTCACTGTTAATTAGTTTTTCCTGTAAATAATCTATTGTTGAGCCACACTTTAATGAAGTTTGTAATTTAATCATTTTGTTGCAACATTTAATATGATCATTAGAACTTTCATGTCGGCTTAAGGTTCGAAATCCATCTAGCCCCAAAGAACTAGATGCATTCCCAAATAACTTATATGGGAAACAAAACAAAGAGTATATTTTTTGGAATATCCAAGTGCGTTGAACGGATTTACCATTTTGTAAAGTTTAAAAAAAAATATTTATTTCAATAACTTCTAGTGCTAGCGTCTTTGGGATAAGTTGTTTTCTTATTTACCCTTTTCTACTACCATGCACTTGGATCAGAATCTTTCTGTTCAAATATTTTCTAAAATGCCGCCCCTCGATAGTTGCCGCCCGGGCGCAGTGCACCCTTTGCACCCTGGGTTGGCTCGGCCCTGGCTTTTATGCTGATTGCTGTGGAGAGAAAGGTGCAAAATGGTTTAGATTGTGACTTAATACGGGACGATTTATCAGTAGAGGTATTTAATTGTAATGTATTTTTACAATTTATATGAAATTGGCTTGGGCCTGGACTGCTCTACCATCTAGTCCAGGCCTGCATTGATTCAGCCAGCACGCCCCTGTACAGGTACAATTTATTATTATATTATTGTTGTGCCGCCAATTTTAAATTAAGCGGCACGGCAGTGATGACGTTTTTTATCTATTACGTCACTAGCGTGCCCGTAAAAAATAAATTGCAGGCACTCTAACGTGCACCTAGTCACTTCGTACTTTGTTCTCGGACTAATCACTAAATAAAACAAACAATACATTTTGGGGTTAAGTATAACATAAAGCATCAAACCCGTTTACAAAGACAATAGAGTCGCTAACGTCATACTAATTAACTAGAGCAATCATAAAATTGTAACAGTTGCTTTCCTAATCAAATAATTATCATTATTTTTTTACTTATGTTCGAATATGCCATCAATATATTATTTAGTGCAATTATTCAAATAACAATTTCTACTTATACAATATTAAAGCAAATGAAGTTGACAATAAAAACAATTTACTTTTTCGTTAATTTAAGAATTTTGTTAAAAAAATTGAATAACCTTCATTTATATTTATTGCTATATTACGGAAATGTTGAAAAATTGCAGAATCTAAGTTGCAATTGTATATTTGTTGTTTTTTTATAAATTCATGTGTTTTTTTTAAATTTATTATAAGTCAAAAATCATAATAACTCTGGAAAAGTTATTGTTGTAGAGAATTATATCGATAGTAAATAAGAAAGTTTAATTTAAATAGCATAATTGGTTAATATTTATCAATTACTTACGATTTAAGATATAAAAATGGCCGTAAATTCATCAAATATTTGTTAAAAGACTATTTTTTACGATTCAGCTCTTTTTTTTTCACTATTTTTTGCGAATTGTTAAAAAAAATTGCAAAAAAAAAATGTTTATTCAAAAAATTGAACTTTGATGACTCCTACTGGCGAACCACTACGAGACACAAAAAAACACAAAGACAATTTTGAAGAGCGTGAAATTCCCTATAAGGTCCATAAAACCGTTTCACAATATTGTAAAGAGCGGGCGAGCATTAGAAATTTGAAAAAAAAACATTTTTTTTACATGCATTTTAAATGGGAAAACTTTAAATTTAAACTGCAAGTACTTAAAATTAATATTAAGAGCTCTACCTTGGCAGTAGCGTAACTAGGGGGGGCGGGGGGGGGGGGGCGGTCCGCCCCGGGCGGCACTTCTTGGGGCGGCAAAAATTGTGAGAGAAAATGCGAAAAAAACTGGAAGACAGAATATAAAAATAAAAAAAAATATTTGATAATTAAATATTCTCTTTCGAAATAATATAATTCAAATTCCAATAGATTTGAGATTTTTACAATTACTCAGGTTTAAGTTTTTTTTGTAGGTACTTTTACATAAGGTTGAGAATTTATCTCTTTATTTTTTTCATATAAATTATGTTAAAGCACATTTTATTTGTTGTTTTTCTTTACCTAGGTCTAAGAATTTTTGTTTGTTTTTAATTCTTAAAATATTACAATTTAATGTTATATATATATGTTAATAACATAATGTTATATATATAATTATATATTTTTAATTTTGCGTACGGTCCTCAAAACTGACTCCTAACCTAACCTCTCTTCCCCCCCAAAAAAAAAAACATGAGGGCGACAGCCACTGCTGCCCCGGGCGGCACTTTTTCTAGTTACGCCGCTGTACCTTGGTGAAAATTTTTTTTTCTATAGGTAGATTAATATTTTGCTTGAGCGCCGAGAAAAAAAAAGTTTTTTGCGGAAATGAATCACCCTAATATATATATATATATATATATATATATATCTATAGATTATTTTGTATAGGTCTCTATGGGGTATTTTAAGCATGGTAGTTACTCTTAAAAAAATATTTTAATAAAATAAAATGTCGTTTTAAGAGTAAATAAGTACATAAAGCAACTGTTTTGTTTACCTACTTAAAAAAATATTTAAGATAAGATTTTAATTATGATTTAAGAATAATACAAACATTATTAATTATTTAAAAGTTCCATAATTAAATTTGATATATACATATTGGATAAAAATATTACATTTAATATTAAAATAAATTTGTATTCCTTTAAAGGATACTTTGTCCATACATGGTATCCCGAAAATGGTTTCTAAAGACAAAAATCTTCCTATAAAAAGGCCCCTAAGAGAACTACAGCGCCCCTGAAGACGGTTTTTTATTATTTCCGAAATGGTTTGAGATAAAAAAATGAAATTTTGTATGCTTACTTAACTTTTTATACTGAATTTAAAAATATTTTTTTACAGGGTATTTTTAGACCCAAATTTTTGTGTGCAATTTTTTTTGGTAGTTGGCTGCAGAATATAAAAATTTAGAGTTTAACAAATACAAAAAATGTCTTTATTTTTCAGTTTAATACCTATACCTATTTAACAAGAAATATTAATAAAAAAAATACATGTGTATCTTTCCCGAAACTACATTATTTTATGTTAAACTGTTTTAGAAATATTAACACTAAAACATCATCAGAGGCGGGCCGCCTCAGGCGGCCTATATATGTTCACAAATTTTTTTTTTCTATTTTTGGCCCTAAAAACAGCTTGTAGAGTATTGCACACTTTTATTGGGACACCCAATTATAAATAATTTATAGGTTTATTTTTACCTATAATAGGTACAAACAAACCGGTAATTTTGTATTTAATAAAATTAATATTAATTAAATTATTCAATAACGGAGACTTTTGTTACTGACTGGCGCAAGGTGCTCTTATAATATTTATAAAAAACAATTAAATTAATCCAGGGCGATATCACAGTTTTTTAAATTGTTATTTATTGCGTTTAAGGATCCTATTAGGAAAAAAAGAAAAATTTAAATTTTATATATTGCATTTAAGGATCCTAAGGACCCTCGAGGGTTTTTTCTACTTTGTTGAGTCGAAATAAACACCATTTTATAAATTAAAAAGAAACTCTCAAAAATATATTATAGAAAAATAAGTCCAAACACACAATTGGCAACATTACTGCGTGATACACGTCTCCTGACCTACGTCAATATTGGGGGTTGTCCTTAAACATTTACGGGGCGATGGGGGTTAAGACTTTGGTACATCGTGTGCTTTAATAAGGGAGGGGGCTCTGAAATTCCCTAAAAAGGTGTTAGTACTTTATGGGAGATACTTAATTTTTATTGACACCAAATAATCCTCCTTCATTTAAATCTTGTTAATAAACACTTTTTAAAGCGCCTCAGTTCTTGGCGCTCTTATCACCACTAACTATATCCGGCTACGGCCCTGATTAAAAACAATAACGCTAGAAATTTTCATATCGTTAAACCGAGCCATTACCTCGGGTGAAATCGTTTTAATACTCCTTATAAATGTTAGTCGACAGCTAATTTATTTGAGTTTATTTGTTATATGCTTGAGTTGTTGTGAAATTTGATACTAAGTATTGTTGAAATGTCAGGCTCAAATAGGAAAATCGGAATTGTGGGCAGGTGAGTAAATTTATAAAAAAATACATGTTCTTTTAAATTACTTACTTATTAATGTAAAATATACCTTATTTTAATAATGATTCTGTAAACCGGCTTTATTTTAATAATGATTCTGTAAACCGGCTTTATGTTTTATCTATTTTGACATCTAAAGATTGCAGTCTATTTGAATATATATACATGTACATAATAGGAATACCTAGTAGGTATGGCATTATAGGTATACTTATATCAAGTAAATTGATATATTTTACACCATATTACTACGTATTAAATATTTAATAAATTTTATTTATATTAGGTAATGTTTTTCAACATAATTCTTATCATAATCCATTTAAATTATGATTATTTTAATAATAATTGAGGAGCATCCGTGCAAAACCGGCTATATCCACTTTAATAAAATGTTGGGAAAATGGCAAAAACTCTCGGTTTCCTGGCCTTTACAGATAAAAGAAAAAGCAAACTTGACTTTTGTGGGCTTTGGAGTACTTGATTTATAAGACATACATACTTTCGTTTTCAAAAACTTTTTATCAAGGCCAAAATTTCAAAAAATGTTTTGTTATAGCTAGAGATGCGACTTGAAAAAAAACGGTCCGTTTTTTTTGTTTCTTTTTCAGGTTTTTTTTCAAATGATTTTTTTCACATTTTAGGTTTTTTTTTCAAGATTAGTCCCATTTGACTAATTTTTTAGGTTTCATGGACTAAAATTAGCCACTAAATGACAATTATTAAATGTAAATACAGTCTCGCGCTTTGCACGCGCCACCACCACCACCGAATTGACCAATAAGGGCCGCGCTTTTTTTCAAATTCATGTAGAGTATGGAATTTTTTTTTTTTTCAAAAAAACAATAGCAAATTTTTGTAGAACATTTATTCATTGGTGGTTAACTCAGAACATTCCGTGGACCAGAAAGCCAAAAAAATCGATTTTTTTAATTACGGTATTTGTTAGGATTGAGCGTTGCACATTTTTTATCTAAAAATCTCAAAATTAGAAACTTCAAGCTTCAAATTGCTTTTTTTACGGCTCCTTTACATTGTGGAAACTACCAAATAATAAGAAATCAGATTTTTTAGTCTCGGTCACAATGTGTGGATTGTGGTCTCGGTCAAAATTTTCAATAATGAAAAATTTAATATAGGTATTCTACATTTCACTTTATTATTAATATATATTTTACTCAAAATTTCATTTTGAAAAAAAAACAAAAAAAAACCGTTTTTTTTCATGTTTTTTTCACATCTGAAAAAAAACCGTTTTTTTACATCTCTTTATTAAAGGTTTTTACATCTCTAATAAAGGTTTTTACATCTCTAATAAAGGTTTTTTGCACATTTTATTCGGTTTTTGAGCAAAAAACCTTTATTATTCAAAAATATTAACAAAATAAATTTAGTGCAAACATGAAAAATCAGAACAAATTTTAGTAGTAGTATCGAGTCGATCCAAGCCACATGCTCATCATCATTATTATTTATTGGATATAGCCGGGTTTGCTATAAAAACGTGGATTTGGCCGGTTTTGCTCCTAAAGCTAACTTTTAAATGTGATTTTAACATGGATATAGTTGGATTTAAACATAATTATCTTGGTTGTCGATAGAAATGAACCCAAAGATGCGGAATCAAAAAAAACAAAAACTGAATAAAATGGATTAAGCCGGTTTTGCACGGATGCTCCTCAATTATTGTCCCTTAAATAATAGTTTTATAACTAGTTTTTAAGCTATACGCAAAAAAATACATAAAACTTTTTTCTCTTAGTGGCCTTATTGGACGTTCCTGGGCCATGTTATTTGCTGGAGTAGGATATCAAGTACACATCTATGACATTCTTCCAGAACAAATTGAAAACGCTTTGGTAGATATCAAACAACAATTGATTAGCTTAGAAAAAGAAGGCTTATTAAGGGGCACCTTAAATTCATGTGAACAATATGCTTGCATTAAAGGTAAAATTACTTTGATCTATTATTTTAACCAGTTTTTTATTGCAAGTAAAAATAAATTTGCACCTACAATATTTTTTGTCCTTTATTATTAAAAATGTTTGTTAAGGGGGCTCATTACCTTGCCCCTTGAATTATTATTAATAATATTAATATTTTAAATTGTTTTGCTAATTTACTTAAATATTATTTAAATATTGTTACTTAAAACTTAACAATTATAACCACCACAATTATTCCAAATTAAATAATACATAATAATAAGTTAAGGTCAAATACAAAGTATATTATATAGATATCAAAAAAGCGTAAAATTATAATTACAAATTCTTTATCTTGTTGATGGTAAAGTTATTTTTGTAAGTCAATTAAAAAATCAATTAAAGTAATAGAATTAAATTATCTTTTAATGGATTTATTTTGCAATAAATATCGGTTTTTTTAAGGAACAACAAATCTGGCCGAAGCTGTGAAAGACGCAGTTTTAGTACAAGAATGCATCCCAGAAAATTTGGAGCTTAAACGTAAAGTTTGGAAAAATGTTGACGATGTCGCCACTCCGAACACCATTTTGTCAAGTTCTACATCGACATTTTTACCATCTACATTCAGTGATCACTTGAAAAACAAGTAAGGATTAATAAGAAAATAATCTATTTTTGAATTTTTTTATAATTTCGAATTTATTTCTGTGAAAATTTTTGGTTTAATAGCGCTTATGGTTTGCTCTATGCGTTTTTGTTGTTTAATAATTAAACCTTGCAAAGAATTAAACTTTATAGCTGGCGGAAACGATACATCTGTTAACCATGTCAAGTGCAGAAGCCTTGTTTACTTTTGTTTCCATGACAACCGTTTTGAAATGTGTGATATTATTTGTATTAGTAATTACCCAGCAAACACATAAGTCTGGTAATGTAATGGCCCATTACAGCGTTTAATGGTTAAATGATGGCATTTTTAATCCAAGCTGTTCTTGTACTGGGCCTCTACAGGAATTTTTCGTTAATAAATGTCAATTTAGACCAAAGGCTGTCGTGGTAAGGTCTTGCAATGGCCCTTTTCAGGCAATGATATGTATAATTTAACATTAAAGGCCCACATATGGCAATTATAAGTATCAAGTTAATGGAACTGTAACACACCATTACAGTGCCAAATGTTTTCCTTTGCTTTACACCATATTTACTAATGAATTGCCTCATGTTAGTGGTATTATGCATATGCATATGCATATAGAAAAATAATATAGGTTTTGAGATATGTTAATTAAGTATCTAATAGGTGTATTTTATAATTAATTATTAATGAACTAAACAACTAGGTAGTACCTTTTTCAAGTAAGTATTTTTACTGTACAATTTTTACATTAATGTCGTACTATTTAATAACCTAGGTTATAGCCACTACAAAAGATATTGAAAATACTATAAAAGCATGGTTAAGGGGAGCAATCGACAGGGATGGTGGTCGTAAAAATCGAGAGAAAAAAATTCAATGAAATTATTAATTTTTCTTATTTTATTTTTTTTTTATTTACTGAAAGAAATTTGATTTTATTTTATAATATTTGTTAAGTTTTTTTTTAATTAAATATGTTATGTTATAATTATGTTTGAATTACATGTATTTTATAACACATTAAACACTTTGTATTTTTTAATTTTTTGAAAGTTTTAGGGACATTCCATGAAATTTTTGTCCCGACTGTTATCTATATAGTAAAGTACCTATCTATTATGGTGGATTAAATTTGGTAAGTATATATTTATTAGGTCGGATATTACACGATAATCGGGTTTTTTTTCCCTACCGTCAAATATCGGCCGGGATAAAATATTTCAATTATTATGGAATATCCGTACCTAGTAAATATATAGGTAACACATTAATGTAAAGTACCTATTATGTGGATTAAATTTAATCCACATAATAGGTACTTTACTTATCCATTAAAGAATATTTACTATCGCTAACAAAAAAAACCCATACAGCTATATTGTGGCTGTGTGAATAAAACTTTTCCGTCAATGTCAAGCTGACATCGAGCTTTGTCACATGTGAAAATGTTGTTAAAAAAGTCATAATGGATGCATCCATTATGACTTTTTTAACAACATTTTCAACCAAACAATGCAGACGAACTCTGGCAAGCCATTGAAGCCATTTGGAACGAGATAAAGCAAGACGGCGACTTCCATGCTTTGCCGTTTGCGGGCAGTAATTGACAAAAACAGAGGGATGACGAAATATTTTTTTTTTCAAACTTCAACCTAACTTTGTATTTAATTTTAGACCTTTCAAATGTGACGTATCATGTTAAAAGCCATAATTACTCCAACGAAATTATAGAAAATCAGGAACACTAGATTTTTAAGCTGTATGAGTTTTTTTTGTTAGCGATAGTAACTAACCACTATAGAATCTTTATCACCCCATATAAGAACCTTTAGCTTGCCACATTTGTACCTTTAACCTGCCATATCGGAACCTTTAGCGGTTCTTGTAAGTGTCTTTATCGACTGCCGTTACATGCATGTCACCTTTTATGGGCATGCCCATAAAAGGTGAACGCGACATAATATGTAGAGGTCCATTAAAGTCTGCCTTTATAGGGCCTTTAGTTTATTAAAGGCACGCGTTTAAAGGGCCATTACAGAACCTTTACGGTTGTGTTTGCTGGGTACTATTATTATTAATAATAAGCCTTGTCGATTTTTTTTAAACTTAAATGCCTTATAACATAAAAACTACCTACTGGTCTGAAATTCAAACTAGGTAACTCATGATATGATTATAGCTAGGGCGCCATTCTCGGGACACCTCGTGTTCCCAAGTAGCATTATAGTGACGAAAACTGATATCGCCACTTCAAATGAGTGGCAATAACGTTTAAAGTTTTATAACTTTTTCGTGTATTAGTCTGGTATCTGAAATGTTATGACCACTTTTGACACCACCTTAAAGTTGTCTAAACTTTAGAGTGGATTATGAATAGTAAGTATTACTTTGAAGTGGTAGTTGTTAAGTGGGTATATCAGTTTTGGCAACGTTTTCGGAACTTTTCCCAAACCTTGAATGTGGCAAAACTTGATTATATAATTGCGGTGGTGATTGCCACGTTCTTGCTACAAGCATGCTTAAGTGACTTCCACGTTTCGTATAAAATTACCACTTTAAATGTGTAGTTTTAAACAAATAATTCTGGTTATTACTGCACTAAATTTAACACGTTAATACATATTTATTGGTTTCAGGTGACCAGTAATAATACAAAAAATATTTTAGGCATCTAGATAAATAATTTTCATATCCGCTAAGTTTATAGATTTTTTTATTCTTTTTTATTACCACGTGGTACATATTTCAACAGAGCGTGCTTATATTTCAAGCTATGAAACCCATGTTTAACAGTAAAATTTAATTCGTGTTAATTTTATGTCTTTGGATTATTTTAATTCTAGTTATTATTTGCAAGTTGTACTCTTGCAATATTATAATTCAGTGTTAGTTTAATATCCAGTCAGAGAAAGCAAAGATAATAAAATAAATAATATGCTGGAAAGAGACGGGGATAGAAAGTAAAGATTAGTAAAGTTACGATTAAGTTTTTGCCACTATACCTCCACGCTATAGTAACGTAATCACAACGTGGTATTAACGTGTCTGTATACAATTCAAGAACGTTGTTGGAACGTAATTGACACTAAAAAAGTGTTCTCCATTTTAGTCACTACCATGTAATAGAACCGTTTCTACCACGTAGCAGAGATTCTGGCAATATACTTTACAGTTCCAAGTATAAGTGGCCAACACGTTTTAACCACTATAAATGCTACTTGGGTTGTCTTATTTTTGTATAGTAAAATAGGCTTCATGAAACTTTAACCTGTACAAATAAAATACCAACACCACACATATAATTGTCTTATTTTTTTCTAGGAAAAATATCATTGTGTCTCATCCAGTAAACCCACCTTATTATGTACCATTGATTGAAATTATCCCAGCCCCATGGACCGATCTGGCAGTACAAAAGAAAACCAGAGCTATCATGGAAGAAATTGGTCAAACTCCAGTAAACCTAACCAAAGAAGTACCCGGCTTTGCTGTAAACAGATTACAGTAAATATTTTCTATATATTTAAATAAAAAATATTAATAATTTTTATTAATTAAGGTACGCTTTGATCAATGAGTGCTGGAACCTGGTAACAGAGGGCGTTTTGGACGTCAAGGACATCGATAAAGTAATGTCCGACGGTTTGGGTATGAGATACGCCTTCCTTGGCATTTTGGAAACCACCCATTTGAACGCTGAAGGTTTCAAAAAGTACTGCGATTCGTACGCTAAAACTATTCACGCCGTAAGCCTAGATTTAAAACCTGTCCCCAAATTGGAAGGGCCAAAGGTGGAAGAAGTTGCAAAGCAACTAGAAAATTTGGTTCCTTTGGACAGATTACAAGAAAGAAGAAACTGGAGGGATTTGTGTCTCACTAAATTGAGCCAGCTGAAAAAACAAATGGACAAAAAGTGGAAATGAGTTATATGTTAAAATATAGATTATAACCGATTATATATAACTCAATAAATTGTTTTTTTTGTTGGTAAATTGGGTTTTAATTTAATACTACTACTACCAGCGGTTCGGTTCGAAACTTGTGAAACACACATTTTCGCATGTCCCATTAGCGTTTTATAAAACTTACATACATGTTTTTTTTAATATTGAATAACTAGAACTTTGTGTTGCTTTATAGCATTAAAATTAATTATTTTATATATAAATTGTTTACTGTATTAACTAATTATAATTAGTTAATACAGTAAACTTTTTCCACTGCGTTACCGAGTCCATTATGTTACCTTATGGTAACGCAATGTAATTTAGGATAACGCAATAAAATTTTTCGATAACAAAGTAGATATTTACCGTCGCTTTTAATAAAGTTTATGATAAACCAATTTAAAATTATTTGTGATTACAACTCATGATATAGATTAAATCCAAGGGAAAATTCGCAATAAACAAGTACTAAAAGGGACCTTCACCAGCTTATAGTCAAAGAAAAAGGGTGTCTACAATTTAGAAATCTAAGTTGTTATTCTGCAAGTGAGCACCACTACAAGGGATTTTGTTAATGCATTACTCTAAAATCGTACCACCCTTTATAGTTTCTTTTTTACGTTATCTGATTAAGTCCTTTGTGTTTTTTTGTACCCCAGTCCGTTGTGATACCAATGTCTATTATGTTACTTTTTTTGTTAAAAAAATACTTAAAATGATTTTTATACACTATCACTTGGTAATACGTGTTTATAAATTAGAGTTTAACTCACTAGGGCAGTTCTACGGAGCATGGTCGATTCGTGATATTCACCACTGGAGATCATAAATTAGTCTAAAACTATTTTTCTTTGGTTGCGGTTTGTTCATATTGGTCTATTGTGAGTAAACCTTTGATAAAAACTTAAATTTAAAAAACAATTTTCTTTAGAAGCAGTTTTTTATCGTTCAAACTCCAGACCGTCACGCGTAACTTCACATGGTTTAGTCCTTTTGATGCATTAGTTTATACTTATCAAGATGGGTTTTTATCTTATACTACGAATAATATTATAATAAGATGTCCCAAATGTGATGGCAAATTAAAATTTTTGTGATAACTCAACCCATTTCTCAAATACAGCGCCTAAAACGTTTGAAACTGGATTGTTACTCAAGACCATCACATTGCTTTTATTAGTTCCAAATTTATTCGCAAGGATTACTACCAGGGACCCGGACCGAAATGAAATATCGGTTCCGGTACGGTTTTGGTTCACCCTATTTTCGTTTTAATGGTTCCGATTCCGGTTTCGGTTTCGTGGAGTTATAACGGTTTGGTTCTTTTCGGTTTTAAGCGGTTCCAGTGAGGTTATTTGTTTTACGTAATTTTAATCTATAACCTAATATGTTATATAATGTTATTAGAATGAAAGCAAATAAAGGTTTCGGTTCCGGTCCAACAGATTTTATCAAAAGCGAAAACGGTTCCGGTTCGGGTTTCGGTTCGGAAAAAAAACCGGTTCCGTTCCGGATTTCGGTTTTTTTCGGTTTCGGTCCGGGTCCCTGATTACTACTCACCAATACGGGGTTGGTATCATAATATGACATATTATGTCTTTAGTCGTAAATAGTATGGCTAAAAAGTAGTGTCGCGCTGTTAGTTAAAGTTCTAAAATTGCGTTTTCTTACTACCTCGACTCAAATTACGTTGTTTCGTCCCCGATTCCACGGCAGAAAGTTTACGTTTTATGCATTGGTCAAGCTATACGCGCACACTCTAATAGCGGGAGTAAAAATTTTTTAGTCGTGTGCTTAACATTCAAATTTCGTACTGCCAACATGAGAACACACAAAAATATGACAGTTTTAAACCAAAATTTTGCAATTATAACAACAAATAAACAATTTATGTTTTTACTTTTTTACTTTTTATGTTGTTTTAAGTGTTTAATGGTACTTTTATTTGTTATAAAGTAGTAATTTGTTAATTAAAATACAACGTTTTATTTTTACTGTATTGGTACCGCTGAATTCACGGCCTACTGTTATTTATTTATCAAGCTCTTCAAATGGAGATAGGTACATAAATACACATTTAATTTTTTCCCGTATTTTCGGCCGAGGTAGTAAGAAAAATAGTATACACTACACGGGCAGAAAGGGCAGTGCAGGAATCTCACACTTTCTGCCCTTGTAGTGTAATATACTATTATTTTTGCGGTAAGTACAAATTTGGTAAACTTTTATGTTTCTTAACCGTCACACTGTTTAGTTTATGCAAGTTTCAAAAGGTACCAAAATATTTTTTTATTTTAAGCTTCTTGTTGTTCATTGTTTGGCTAACACCACTTTTCCACTGAGTAAAAACACGTCAAGTGGACCCCCCATTTTCCACTTGATCATCGAATTTGAATGTGAGTATTTTTTCATAAAGTAGTCACCATGAACAAATAATCCCCCGCTCACTTTTTTAAAATTTTAATTTTAACAACAATTTTTTTTTAATTGAAAATTTTTACTACTTTTAGTTAAAAAATTAATAATGAAAAAACTATTGGTGATTTTTTAATGAAATTTTCAGGAGTTATAGTTCAATACTTGTACTTTAAGAAAATATGTATGAATTTGAATTATTTTTTTTTTTGCATATTGTTAATTCACTTTTAAGTTAACAAATGAAAATTTTAATGACTTCTCCCTCAAAAAATGAAAAATTTTTTGTTCAGTATTTTGCAATAAATATTCAAGTAACGAAATCCGCAAAAAAATTTGACTGATCGCGATGAGATTAAGCAAAAAAATTTTTTTATGACGGGCGGTCAGCGCTGCCGGTATAGCGAGCTGCCGCGCGTCATTGACTTACCTTTAGATTTACTCTGTAATTATAAATAAGAAATAATACTTAATGTTTTAATTAAAAATATCGTTATTTTATGATTAATTTTATTTAAACAAATGACAGAGATAATAAATTATATATTTTTTTATAAATAAAAAATAGAGATAATAAATTCTAGCAGTATTCTGCTATTTATTTTCATTTATTGTTTTTAACACATTCGCGGACACTTCCAGATTTTAGAGGTTACTCAAAAACACACCAACTTTTGTCTGCAATTGCTGACGTCTGCTATAACAGACACGTCCTTGTATATCCCAAAATTTTATATTAAGGGACATGCGTCTGTAATTGCAGACGTTAATAAACTAAATGCCGGTTTCGGTAATAAGAAGAAAATCGTAAAAAACATAAACTTTATTCAAATAAATAATAAAAACTACAACAAAATAAACTTTTAATCCAAGTCTTTGTCATCTGAACCAGCAAATGGATCTTCTATACTAGTACTGCTTGATCTATCACCCTCAGGCTCTGATGACGTATTACGTATGACGTAATTTACGTATCCCTATAGGGCAATACGAAACATCATCTCTTTTGCCAATGATCTTATACGTATATTTATTCAAAAACCATTTTATATATTGAATATATACTATATAATATAATATATATAATATTATATATATATAATATTATTATATATTTATAATTTATAATATTATATATTTATGATTATTAAAATTTTATAACCAAATATAAAAAACCGTATTTAGCTTAGGCAGGAATATTTCCTTAGAATAAAAATAAATAAAAATATTTGAACAAACCCTTATTAAAAATATAGTACTTACCGAGAGTTAAAATCGAAAAAAACAACTTAAAATAACATTTAAAAACAACAAAATAAAATCGAAATTTACAGGGACACTTCATAACCTCTTCCATTGGCCGTTATGAAGCTACTGTCTGCTTTTGCAGACATGACGCTTTTCGTGAGAAAACAATCTGCGCGGGAACTATATATTTAACCTTAAAATTTATCACTTATAGGGACACTTTTCTGCTAAAAAACTTGATGTACAGGGACAATATGTTTCCATTCATACGTATTTAATAGTAAATAGCGACTGCTAATGCAGACATGCGTTTTTCTGTGGTTTAAAATTTGTCTGCAATTGCAGTCGTGTCCCTACACATGTGTCTGCAATAGCAGTCGTGTCCGCGAATGTGTTAAAAAACTTAACGAATCATAATTATTTTAGTTGTTTTTTAAATATATTGTTAATTTAATAAAAAAAACCAACGTTGGTTAAACTGGTTATAACCAATATCAGTAAATAAAGATTTGTGACAATCTTGTCAAACGTCAAACGTATTGACGTTTTATTTAATAACTTTGTATTAAATCGTTTTTATTGTTCTAAATTTAATTAGTTTCTTCCGAATTTGTTTAAAATTTTATTACTGTATTGAAGTTTATTGGTGTTCGTAATTTCGTTAATACTTAATATTTAATTAGTCATGAGGCGCGTAAATAAATGCTGCAATCCATTTAACAAAAAAAATCATAAAAAAGTCATTATAAACTTAGTTTTAATAACAAAAAACCGCGCTCATAATTTTAAAGATTTTATTGGCGATTATATGTGCAATTCATGTGAACGGACTATTTATTCAGGTCGAAAACCTGAAATTCTTGGTGAATTATCGGTGAATAAATGTCCTGAAGTCAACAAGCCTGAAAAGTCAAATGATGTGATCGAAGATGACGAAGAAAAAGATCCTACTTTTCAATGCAAACCGGTAGATAACAAATTAAAAATTGATAAGGTTAATAAATTATTAACGGAAATTGGTGAACCTCCAATCAAAATCAAGAGAGTCTCAAGTGATATAGAATGTCAAAAAGTTTTAACAAATGTTGTGAGGAAATTTACAGATAATATTAACAATATAAATAATGAAATTGATCCAAAAGAGCTTTTACTTAATAACTTTAAATCTGCTTTTAATAATAAAACTAGTAGAGCTGATAAAATTCAGGTTTTGACTACGCTTCCTACAGATTGGTCGATAAAAATGATAAGGAGAGAGTTTAAAGTTTCCAAACGTATGGTGAAAACTGCAAAAAAAATGAGACAAGAACGAGGATTTGCATCGCAGCCTAAAATGAAGAAAGGAAAATCTTTAAACAATGAAACCCTCGATCGTATTGAAGCTTTCTATTTATCCGATGATGTCAGCCGCGTAATGCCTGGTATGAAAGATTATGTTTCGGTAATTGAGAATGGGAAAAAAATCCAGAAACAAAAACTATTATTATTATACATATAATGTTCACGAAATACACAAAAAATTTACTGACGCTTATCCTGACGAAAACATTGGACTATCAAAATTTCAAAAACTCCGACCTCGGCAAAAGTGGGACTCATAATGTGTGTGTGTGTAAAATACATCAAAATTTTAAATTGCAATTAACTGGATTTAAAAATGAATTTAAAAAAAAGAGAATAATTTTTTCAGAAAGCTCAAATGACTTAATTAAAAGCTCTGTTTGCCAAGAGTCTGCATCATTGTGTTACTTTTCTGAGTGTACTAAGTGTCCAGGAACTGATAATATTATAAATAAATTGGAACTATTTCTCAACAACCATGAAATAAATGAAATTACATACAGCCAATGGAAAAGTACTGATAGGTAAAGAAATTTTCAGTCAAATGTTATTTTTTTTTTTAATTTTTGTAATTATTCTTATCAAATAATTTTATATTTACTTGACTGAGTAATTAATATTTTTTTATTAATTAATATTCTTTTTAATTAATAATCAAATTATTAGATTTTGTATGTTTAAATTGTTAATTTTTTTGATTATCCTTTTTTTTATTATTACTCAATTCAGTTAATTTATTTTGAATTTTTTAGAACTGAAATCATTGAAGAAACGAAAACGAAAAAAGATTTTTTTAATGATTTAAGACAAAAATGGCCTGAATTATTGAGACATGATTTTCTTGCACGATCTCAAGCGTCATATTTTACTGACAAGAAGGAATCTGTTGAGGATGGAGAATTTATTGTTTGCCTTGATTTTTCTGAAAATTATACTTTTTCTGTTCAAAATGCCATCCAATCTCATCATTGGAATAACAGTCAGGCTACAATTCACCCTTACGTTGTGTATTATAGAGAAAATGAAGAAATGAAACATATAAACTACGTTGTCATTTCGGAAAAAGTTAGTCACGACGCGAGCTCTGTTCACCTTTTTAATTTTAAACTGATTGAATTTCTAAAAAATAAGTTTGGAGAAGATAAGATAAAAAAAATTTCCTATTTTTCGGACGGAGCTGCTTCTCAGTACAAAAATAAGTTTAATTTTGTGAATTTAATAAATCATAAAAAGGATTTTAACGTTGACGCGGAATGGAATTTTTTTGCTACTTCTCACGGAAAAGGGGCGTGTGATGGTTTGGGAGGAAGTTTTAAAAGGCAAGCTTTTCGTGCAAGTCTTCAACGGGAAAGCGATAAGCATATAACCAATCCAACTTTATTATTTGAATGGGGTAAGAATGCATTTAAAAAAATTAACTTTGGTTTTTGCTCCCAAGAAGATCACGACTCCCATGAGAAGAAGTTTAAATTACGTTATGACCAATGTGTAACCATAAAAAATACACGCCAATATCACCATTACAGAGCTGTTAATAATACATCACTCGAGTGCAAAGTTTTCTCCAAAGCCCTTAAAATCGTTACCAATAACGTTTTAAAAAAAAAGAAATAAAGCAATAAGTATGAGTTATAAGAATTAATTTAAAATTTTTTATTTAACTTCTTTGTTTTTTATTTATAAAAAAATATATAATTTATTATCTCTGTCATTTGTAAAATTAATCATAAAATAACGATATTTTTAATTAAAACATTAAGTATTATTCCTTATTTATAATTACAGAGTAAATCTAAAGGTAAGTCAATGACGCGCGGCAGCGCGCAATACCGGCAGCGCTGACCGCCCGTCATAAAAAAAATTTTTTTGCTTAATCTAATCGCGATCAGTCAAATTTTTTTGCGGATTTCGTTACTTGAATGTTTATTGCAAAATACTGAACAAAAAATTTTTCATTTTTTGAGGGAGAAGTCATTAAAATTTTCATTTGTTAACTTAAAAGTGAATTAACAATATGCAAAAAAAAAAATAATTCAAATTCATACATATTTTCTTAAAGTACAAGTATTGAACTAAAACTCCTGAAAATTTCATTAAAAAATCACCAATAGATTTTTCATTATTAATTTTTTAACTAAAAGTAGTAAAAATTTTCAATTAAAAAAAAATTGTTGTTAAAATTAAAATTTAAAAAAACTGAGCGGGGGATTATTTGTTCATGGTGACTACTTTCTGAAAAAATACTCACATTCAAATTCGATGATCAAGTGGAAAATGGGGGGTCCACTTGACGTGTTTTTACTCCACTGCGGTTAATAAATAAATACTAGGCGCCAATTTTGTATCGTGGTCCTCAAGACCGTCACCATCGAGACCGTCACTCTACGTCAAACTTTAAGTGTGATGGTCTTGAGGAACCTTGTGACGGTGGTTTCCGCTTAGAATTTTACTGTACTTATACTCAAGTGTATTTCTACCTTCTTTTATGGAGATACGGACGTTATTTAAAATAGATAGCAGGATAGCAATGGAACCAAATAAGAACAATCTAGCATGCTTAAACTAAAAAAATAATTAAAAGTAATCAGAGAAGAAGCGCATCTTAAATTTATTTAAAAACAAAATAAGGCAAATATTCTAAAAAAGAATAATAAAAAAAGAAAAAAGTAGAAAAAGAGATAAAGCATGTATAAATATGTTTTAAGGAAAGTGATAATGTGAAAGATACCGTCCAAAAAGATGAGACTGATATTTATGAAAACCAAACCAAAAAAATAGAAAATGATAGTGCATTAAATAGTATTCAGCATAGCACTAAACCGAAAATAATAACTAGATCTAAGATAAGATATTCTGGAAGCATACAAACAGTCTCTGCTGCTATAAATTCTAAAGACAAATCTAAAAGACGTGATGAGATAAAACAGAAAAAGACAAAGATCTCCCGAGGAACTTGAAACGAAACCAAGAAAAGTATAACTTCTATTGACCAAAAAAGAAAAGATGCAGCCAAAAGAAAAAGAAAACAAAAAGAAAGAATTAAAGCCGATATTAATAAATATGAATTGTTCAAAAACGCAGAAATACTAAGAAGCAGCAAGAGAAGAGAAATGGGGAAGATTAAAAAGATTTATGGTATGTCTGAACTGGAAAAAAGGGTACAGAGAAAGCTGTGGCGAAATAGTTATCATCGTTGTAAAAATAATCTCAAAAAAGGGAAAGATGAAGAATTAATAAGACAACAAAATACACCACCCGCTTCCGATGCAGAGGAACTAGTTTTTGTAGACATTTATAATAATCGGTTGCAAAATGCTGCTGTAAGAAGTTCACATCGAAATGCCGTCCGAAAACTTGAAGGAAAAGTTTTCGTCGAAAACAAGAAAAAGAAAGGTTATGTCTGCAAGAAAAAATTAATTAATGCAAAAAACAGGCCAACTCGTGGAAGCAAACATTTTCAAGGCTTCAAAAACAAAAAAAATAATTGCTCTCCTTCGCCAAACTCAAAAGTAAAAGATATAATGCGTGAAGGACAAGAGACTGTTAAACGAAAACTTAATGAGTGAGATTTTAGAAAAAAGTTGACAATTCCATCAACGTCAACTACAATTTCCTCAAGGGAGTTAGCAATGCAAAGAGATCGTTTGACTAAATAAATGTTTGGACCCCATCATAAACAACAGTAAGAGTATTACCCTAAATAATATCGAAATTGGTTCATTGGTAACTGTTATTTATGATGAAACTTGGTACCCTAGATGCATAAAAGAAATAAACGAAAATCACATTTATGCAACGCAACCGTTAACGGTGAATATTTTCAGTGGCTGTCCAAAGAAGATCTGCAAACTGTAAACAAATCTGGGGTGCTAAATTTCTTGGAAAATCGCCTTTAAAAAAATCGTCTCGCTTATTTTCTATTTATAAAGCTGACGAAATTGATGAACAATGCATTGATAAAATAACAAAGATATTATATGTAACTTTGGTCCCAAATCACTGTTAGTTTATACTAAAAACATTGTAGTTAATTTTTATAGGATGGAATGTGGTTTCGCATTTTTAGTTAATTTCTTAGGTCCTGTTTTTTTTTACAAATACTTGTAAGTAGGTTTCATATTCTTCTAAATATTTGTTATGAAAAGTTGTTTATTTCCAAATACTATTATTTGTAACTTACTTTTACCATTGATTAACGCTTTTAGGTTTTACGTTTTATTTTAACTTTTATGTCAAATGTATTTTTTCGTTGATGAATAAAAAAAATATTTCTTTTTGTCCTATTTTTTTTGTACTTGTGGTCCCAAATCACTAAACCATCACACAAAATGCAATATCTTAACTTTAGACTCAAGACCATCACGATCTACTACCGACCGTCACACCACGTACTAATCCATTTCTCGTTTATTATTTTTTTAAATACTTATGTTTTGGGAGGTTTTTATTTTATTAAGGGACCAATAAAGCATACGCAGCAAAATTTATACTAAACAGGATTAATTGCATCCTAATCCAATTGTTAAAATTAAAAGTTATGATAAGGATTATAAAAAAAATTGATAAAATAAGGTTAAAAATATATTTTTGCTTATAAATAGTTTTGGAGCATACTGCATCCCGAGGGATTTTTTGTGAAGGGAAGATAAAACTATCTGAAATCAGTTTTTTATACACAAGGCAGTAGGTAGTGTATTACCGGGTGTTTTGATTAAAAATGTGTCAATTTTTTATGACGTCAATAATCCGATACCTAACTGTTATTTCAGGTATGCGTTTATAAAATGTCGCATAATTTCGTAATTAGTGGTCCTATTAAAAAAAATTATGCAATCTCTTAAAATAACCAAAAAAAAGGAAAAAAATTATTTAAAACATTTTTTTTTATCTCAAATGGTTAAGAAAATATTGGCTTTTAAAACTGACATATATGTCAAATATTACAATATATTGTAATATTTTTATTAGGGGTGTGCGAATAATTCGAACTTACGAATTATTCGTTCCGAATCGAATATTAATATTCGATTCAGAACTCGAATCAAATAATTCGAATTATTCGAAAGTTCTCGAATAATTCGAAAAATTTCGAATAATTCGAAAAATTTCGAATAATTCGATTTTTTTTTTCGAATAATTCGAAATTTTTTCGAAATATTCGTAAACTATTATATTATTAGCGAATTTTTGAGTATTTTGAATTTAGGGTTTGTTATGTTCGATATTCAAATATGAATTTAACAGTCAGCATACATTTTATTTAAACCATGAAATATAGTTACACAAATAGAAGTATACTTTTTTTTGAAAGAGAATGAAATAACAGAAATACAACATTTGAAAATTTGATACAAATTTTTGTGCAAAAATAATAAATTAAATACGATACTGAAACATTACATGAGTAACCTTTTTCTTATAGATTTTTTTTTCTCTAGAGATATTTCATTATTTCGCGAATTATTTGAAAATTATGAGTTATTCGAAATTTTTCGAATTATTCGAAATTTTTCGGGTTATTCGATTTTTTTCGAATTATTCGTAGAATTTTGAATAATTCGAAAATTCAAATTATTCGATTCGAATTCCGAATCGAATATCAATATTCGATTCGATTCGAACGATATTCGCACACCCCTAATTTTTATATTTTGCATGGATCGATTTGGAGCCATTTTGCAAGAAATTTGAACTCAGCTATTTTTGATTCGATTAAAACGATGTTTTTACGGATGCGAAATTAAACCACCTTTCAAACCATATATCGGATTTGGCATACCCTCTCGATGCTTATTTAAGTAAAATCTTGAATTAAAAAACAAAAATAAACCGGCATCTAGGTGAATGGCACAAATAAGAAAAAAATTATTAAGTTTTTTGTGTTTAGCGCACCAAAATAACCCTAAAAATTTAAAATAAAGTTTCTATTTTTCGTTGTAAAACAGTGTAATACATTTAATTAACAGGAAATGGAAATTAAATAGGTAGCTAATAGTAAATATTTTAAAAGAAAACTGTTAAAACTAAGTATTTGGTAAAATACTTTTGACATTTCTATGTACACATAAATTGATAAAGTCAATGCACACTTAATTTATAAGCAACCAAACTACTTAAATTTACTAAAACAGTTTTATTTCAAAAAAGTCACTGTTGCTAGAGGCTAAAAAAATTGATGGGCCATTAAATTTGACGGCCCATAAAATTATACAATTGTTTCGATACACGGTCATATGACAATCAAAAAATGTCATATGTAATTTATTTCAAAGGGCACAATAAAATTAATTATTTTGCATTTTATAAGTGAATGTCGAAAATGGTGGACATTTTGGATTAGATGCCATAAACACCACCAGACATATTTTCAAGGTAAACACCCAGTACCACACAACTCAAAAAGGTATAAAAAAGCTATTCCATGTGATCCCATCATCCCTTCATAACAAATCCCACGGAGAATATGTTATTGCTTTATGCTCCAGGACTATTATATTTTGTGGATACTTATAATAAATTTGTCAAAAATATTTTGAAAATATGTGCGTAGTTATAAGAAAAAAATATTTTGTAGGCGGTACACAACATCTAGCACAATTTTAGAATACAAATATAAGGGTGACGGTCGTGAGTTTTACTTAAAGTTTCATTACCAAAAATCTGTGGTAACTTTTTTCATGATAACAAAAGTGGGTGGCGCGAGTGAGATATGAACTAAAGACTTGGTCAATTTCAAAAATTTATGATTTGTATACGTTCAAAGCACTTTTTTTTTAAACTCTGCCTTACAAAAATCGACCATGCTCCGTAGAACTGCCCACTAATACAGTAACTAAAAGAAAATATTAATGGTATATAACAATATTGTTTTTTAACAAAGAATCGGAATGGTTTCTTTTAAATACTATTTAATAGTAACTTAACGAACATACATATTTAAAAAAAGCATACAATTTTTAATAAAAAATAAAATAAAAACACAGTGGAGATATGAAAAAAATTAAAAAGTGCACTGCCTGTCTTAAACAAAACTCTAAACATTTATAAAAATCCAACCAAAAGTCAATTTAAGCAAAAAAAATTTTGATCTTCATTTTCCTGAAAGCGGGTGTTTCTTGAAAATGACCCAACTCTCGACCACAAGGCATATTTTACTTCAAATCATTGTCTAAAACAATGGCTAAAGAGCGTGTGCATACGCGCCTAGCTGTCATCCAATACTTGAAAAAGCGGGACCCGTGAATCTGCGACAGAAGATCTGTTTAAAAATGTTTTACTGGTTCAAGGACACACTTCCGTAATAAAAATTTTCTAATTACTGAACTAGAAAAAAACGGCTTTTTTTGTTTTTTTTAACCGCTGCAATAAAGCATATTCTGTCATTAAATAACATCAATCTTAAAAAATGGAGTAATTTTTCAAAATGAAATTTTGAGTAAAATGTAATATACAGGGTGTCCCAGAACTCGCGCCACATAGAAAACCGGAACGTGCCGAAAGTAACGTAAAACACATATTTGAAAATTAAAATTGTCTAACGCAAAGGATAAGCGAGATAAGAATAAAAAACGATAGCCAATCCCAAAAGATGGCCATAGGGAATTCTTTAAATTGCTAGGATACTTAGGTTGCATTGTTGATAATAAAAAATATGTAAAATATTTGGTCCACTGGAATCCAATTCATTGTGACACTGCTGTCAAACTCCTGTAATTAATATTATATTAGGTTATAAATTAAGTTATTATAAATAATGTTTTCCTTAAATGATTATACTGAAATGATAATTATTTATTTATTTAGTGTGCGCGCAACGCCAGGGAGACAACGCGAGTTTTTTCCCAGCCCTTTCCTAATCGTTATTTTAAAACATTGGCGTTCTGAAGTATAAGTCATAGATTAATAACCTCATTTTTGAAAGCTTTTGACAACTTAGTAAATACAGTTGGCCAAAAGATTTTTAAATGTTTTTAATACAACAATGTTCTATCGTCTCCTAGCAATTTTTAAAGCTCTTACGTTTAACCTAGGCGAGAGCTCTCGGTATTGGCTGCCGCTTTTTTGCTCTCATTCGATTACACTATTACCTAGAAATTTTTTATTTTTAAATTTGGCATCTCCATTGCTATCGGCACGCCCCCTTTTTCTCTGTGGCGCGAGTTCTGGGACACCCTGTATATTACATTTTTCATTATTGAAAATTTTGTCCGAGACTAAAAAATCTGATTTCTTTCCACATAAGAAACCAAAAGCAATGTAAAACTTCTACACGAATAGTAAAAATTAAAGGATAAAAAAAAAATTCAAAATTTTTTGCGATTTTTCGGATAGCTGTATCTTCGTTAAAAATGGTCGAAATGGAGCCGTAAAAACAGCAATTTGAAGCTTGAAGTTTCTAGTTTTGAGATTTTTAGATGAAAAACGTGCAACGCTCAATCCTAACGAATACCGTAATCAAAAATTTGTTTGGCTTTCTTTTTTGGTCCACAGAATGTTCCGACTTAACCACCAATGATTAAATGCTCTAAAAAATTTGCTTTTGAGAAAACAAATTTCCATCCTCATGAATTTGAAAAATCACGAAAAAAGCGCGATACTTAATACTCTATTTAATTTGTTGCCTGTTGATATAACAAGCCTTCCAACAAAGGCATTTGAAAGATTGCCTGATAAGTCATGCATTTTATAGTGTAAATGCATTGAGTAAAGAATCTTACTGAATGGTAAATGCTTTTAAAATTAAATTAAAAGTTGTTCAAATATAACGTAACTTATAGTCCTGGAGCATACAGCAATAAAATATTCTCTGTGGGATTTGTCATGAAGGGATGATGGGACTATATGGGATAGCTTTTTTTATACCTTTTTGAGTTGTGTGGTGCCGGGTGTTTACCTTGAAAATATGTCTGGTGGTGTTTATGGCATTTCTAATCCAAAATGTCCACCATTTTTGACATTCATTTATAAAATGCCAAATAATTAATTTTATTGTGCCCTTTGAAATAAATTACATTTGACATTTTTTGATTGTCATATGACTGTGTATCGAAACAATTGTATAATTTTATGGGCCGTCAAATTTGATGGCCCATCAATTTTTTTAGCCTCTAGCAACAGTGACTTTTTTGAAATAAAACTGTTTTAGCAAATTTAAGTAGTTTCATTGGTTGCTTATAAATTAAGTGTGCCTTGACTATCAATTTATGTTTACATAGAACTGTCAAAAGTATTGTACGATTTTAATACTTTTTTGCTGTTTTTCTTAATTTAAGGTAAGTTTTTGTGTTTAAATTTGATTTTATATAGTATTTTATTGAATTTAAAAGCATTTTTAATTTCTACATACTTAATTTTAACAGTTTTCTTTTAAAATATTTACTATTACCTATTTAATTACCATTTCCTGTTAATTATAATTTATTATTGTTTTACAAGGAAAAATAGAAAATTTATTTTAAATTTTTAGCGTGATTTTGGTGCGCTAAACACAAAAAACTTAATAATTTTTTTCTTATTTGGGCCATTCACCTAGATGACGATATATTTTTGTTTTTTAATTTTAAGATTTTACTTAAATCAGCATCGAGAGGGTATGGTAAATGATATATGGTTTGAAAGGTGGTTAAATTTCGCACCCAACGGCAAAAACATCGTTTTAATCGAATCAAAAATAGCTGAGTTACAGGTCATAAAAGTTCAAATTTCTTGCAAAATGGCTCCAAATCGATCCATGCAAAATATAACAATATGTCAGTTTTAAAAGCCAATATTTGAGATAAAAAAAATGTTTTAAATCATTTTTTTCCTTTTTTATGGTTATTTTAAGACATTATATAATTTTTTTTAATAGGACCACTAATTACGAAATTACGCGACATTTTATAAACGCATTCCTGAAATATCAGTTAGGTATTGGATTAATAACGTCATACAAAATTGACACATTTTTAAACAAAACACCCAATAATACACGAATGCCTTGTGTATAAAAAACTGATTTCAGATAGTTTCATCTTCCCTTCACAAAAAATCTCACGGGATGCACTATGCTCCAAAACTAGTAATTTATTTTTCGAATTAATAATGTTTTTATGTTGTTATTTAAATGTTTTGACTTGTCCTATACATAAGTAAATATGCCCTTTGGATCAATAAACTATCTTTATCTTTATAAATATTTACTTGATAATAATGAAGTGGTTAAAAACTAAACAATCTTTTTTTCACAACCAAGCGAAAAGTACAAATTAGCGCTTCCAAAAGAAAGCGCAAAGTTGCATTTGCAAAATGAATTAAAAAGGTCACACCAAATGCAAAATATTTGCCGCCCGAATATTTTCTCGACAGATTAAAGGTGAATTTATGGTCCATTAAAATAAGAAATAAAAATAAAAAATAAGAAATAAAAATAAAAGTTAAAGGTTTATAATTGCTAACATCACTTTATACTCACGAAAATAAGAAATAAAAATAAAATTTTCAACTTAAGATTCTTATTCTGCGTATTTTTGTGCGCAAATGATTTATTTTCGTCATCAGCTGACAGGTTTTTGTTTCGCGAGGAAAATTGGCAAATACTTTTGTGCAATAGTTGATTCTTAATTGTTGTGTTGTTTAATTACTGCAATAATTGGTGTTTTTGGATTGTTTTTGTGTTATTTAATTATATTATTGGAAACATGGACGACAGGGATGAAAAAATCCTGTAACCCTGCGATTACGATTTAGGGGTCGAATGCTGTAGGTACCGCCTCTCAGCCCATTTCTTACGAACAATTCTTTTTTGCAACAGTAAAAATGCTGTTGTAAGCAATAAAAACTTTTTAATTTTGATTCTGATTTTTAAAAGGTTACCACAGAACAAACCAACCAAAGAAACGAACGCTTTGGGAACTGTCAAACAATCAGGTTTAACCTCACTTTTGCATATTTCTTATTTTTATTATTTACACTGTGCGACAATTTTCGGGTCATCAAAATCAAACCGCACCGGACCATTTTTTTCTGAAAATATACCTATCCTATAGCAAAACCCTCGCTGGGTTTGTAAAAGTTAGCTCGATTTTTTTTTTTATGGTTGTTTGTATTTTCGAGCTTTACCTATATACCCAAATTTAGACCTATAAATCGATTTTTTTCGCATATATGCGAAAAAAATCGATTTATAGGTCTTGACGATATAAATCGAATATATATATATATTTGATTTATATCGTCAAGATTTTTTGTAGAAATGTAGATACTGCACAAATAAACTCATTTTGTGAACAACCTTTATCCCAAAAACCCTTTTTTTTTTAAAATTTTTTGATAATATTTAAAATTTCTTGCTACTTCTTCTGGCAAAAATGTTGTAAAGTATACTAAAAGAAGTAATTTATAAAATACGCACACAAAACTCAACCTTAAGTTTGCTTATTTGCTGGAAAATAATGTTTAAACAAGATTTTCCAAAATATTCATATTTTCACACTTAACACCAAATATTTTGCCAAAAAATCTGTAGGAAAAAATTGAATAGATAAAATAGAATTGTAGAAAAGTACAGAGAGTATGATTTTTTATTTTGTATTAATTTTATTATTAAAAAACTTTGTTATATCAAAACATTGAGTAATCTGATTCATTGCTGAAGAATTCCATCCCTCCCACTTCTTCTTCTTTATTTCCTTGCTCTTCATTTTCATTTTTTGATTCATCACTGGAGGATTTCATCCCTTCCACTTCTTCTCCTTTATTTTCTTGTTCTCCATTTTCATTTTCTTCCTGATCGTAGTCAAAAATATGTTTACTTCACCAAAATGTTTCGGCTAATATGGCATCTGGAGCTCGTTTTCCTCTTTATCTGGACTTAAATGGCATCGTATGATCAGGAAGAAAATGAAAATGGAGAACAAGAAAATAAAGGAGAAGAAGTGGAAGGGATGGAATTCTCCAGTGATGAATCAAAAAATGAAAATGAAGAACAAGAAAATAAAGGAGAACTGGAAGGGATGGAATTCTCCAGCAATGAATCAGATTACTCAATGTTTTAATATATTTTAATAATAAAATTAATACAAAATAAAAAATCAAACTCTCTGTATTTTTCTACAATTCTATTTTATCTATTCAATTTTTTCCTACAGATTTTCCAAAGATTTCGGCAAAAAAATTGGTGTTGAGTATGAAAAGATGAATATTTTGGAAAATCTTGTTTAAAAATTGTTTTCCAGCAAATAAGTAAACTTATAAGTTTATAAAGTTCAGTTTAGTGTGCGTATTTTATAAATTACTTTTTTTAGTATACTTTACAACATTTTTGCCAGAAGAAGCAGCAATTTTAAATATTATCGAAAAATTGAAAAAAACATAATTTTTCGAATATTTGGTTTCAAAAATTGGGTTTTGGGATATATATATAGGTTGTTCATAAAATGGGTTTATTTGTTCAGTAACTTTGTAAGTACATTTCTACAAAAAAATCTTGACGATATAAATCGAATATATGCGAAAAAAATCGATTAATAAGTCTAAATTGGGGTATATGAAGCTAGAAAATACAAACGGCCATAAAAAAATAAATCGAGCTAACTTTTACAAACCCAGCGAGGGTTTTGCTATTGGATAGGTATATTTTCAGAAAAAAATAGTCCGGTGCGGTTTGATTTTTGGTGTTGCACAGTGTTATCAGACATAAATGACAACAAATGAAACTATTTCTTATTTTTTAATTTCTTATTTTTAGTTTCCTTTAGATTCCTTAGTTTTGTTGTGATAATTTTACAAAGTCAATTTTATTGCTTTCAATATACTAGTCTCATCAAAATAGATTACGGTTCAATAACTATATTTTTATCGTGCTGATTTCACGAATTCCGACCCTATAAATAAAACTAAATGTGTTTGTAAAAAACGAATATTTTTTCTAAAAATGTGTATTTTAACCGAAAGTACAAGAGAATGCAAATTATTTTGTCATATACAGTAAATTACGTTACACAATATAGCATACTCCACTAACAATATTTAATGATTGAACTACAACTAATATTCTAAAATCTGAGAATAGATTTTTAATAAATTTAACAAATACTAATAATTAAGGAATTCAGCATTCAATTTGTATGTGATGATTCAATAAACTTTAAACATAGCATAAAACTGCTAGAAATTTTAAAAAACAACAGCAGAGGTAGAATATATTTTTACAATAATTTTGATTTTTTATTAAAAGATCAAACAAACTTTACGACTTTAAATATAAAACAACAGGTCTAAACTATGTATGTATTATTATTATATGAAAATAAATTTATTCACATATTTTGGCCAGTAAACTTCTGGCCCATTTAATTAAAATTTTATTTAAAATACTCTTCGGTGTTGATTTCAGTCAATTCTAAAATTTAAATTTATTTTGAAAGTAAATGGTTTTAAATTTTAAATTAATTTAAAAGAAAAAAATTAAAACTCAATTTTGAGATTCCATGTTGTGGATGAATAATTAAAGACATTATTAAACCCACTTACAATTAAAATAAATTATCTGTAAATAATTCACCTTTTTTCTGCCAACGGTAAAAATTCCATAATAAAATGCAATGGTTATTCCCCAATTAGTAATATATTTCATCAATAAGGGAACTTCTTGAGGGGGTATTTGATTTTCGGATTTTGTATATTATGCAGTAATTTTGGTATAAAAACTTACATTTTGTACTGTAGTTACTTAAAAACCAGATAAAACTGATCAAATTGACAATAAAAAATCTGAATTTAATGCCCCATAAGAAGTAAATCAAGTCTATGTAAGAATGTAATATTTTGAAAAGATAACATAAAAAATAAAAACAAATAACTTAGCTATGTAAACACTCTAAACTACTAAGATATCTATAGGGGAACTGCAAGTTCCTGTACAAAATATATTATTCCATCATTGACTTACTTAACAAGAACTGGCTGCTAAGGGATACTTTACAATATAACGCTTCTTTTATAAATTGAATTTGGGAATTTAGAATTTAATATTTAGCAGTTTAGTGGGATTTTTTACCACAAACTATTTATTTGATGTTTGCAAAGTATGAAACCACAGCCAGAGATATAGTCTCTTCTCACCTTGTTGGAGACACAATCATTGGTCATTAAGTTCATATCACTAATTATAACACTTAATTTTCTTCTCCATCCTCCATCTTCCGCTTCTTGCCTCTTGAAACTGAAAAAAATAAAATTCATCCAGTAAAACAAAATAATATATTAGGCCTCTAGAAGCCATGGCATACATTTTGTTGTTTTATGTCTTTATTTTTTAAGCTGCTACCTGTTACTATTTATTCCTGTACTATAAAACAAAAGGCACATTATAAAGAGAGCTTTTAAAAATGAATTCCACATTTATTAAAAAAAAGTGATGCGTAATTACAAGTCTAGGTGACTCTCTTAGTATTCCAAGACACTTTATAGCACTTCCATAGAGCATAGAGCATTAAAAAGTCAATTTAATAGAGAAAGTTTTTCTTGATTCTTGATTTTATTCAATATTTATTCTCGAAAAATATTAATAAAAAAAGTAGTTAATTTTCTGTTAAGAAGCGTTTAAAAATGCTTGAACATCTATGAAAACTTTTAAAATTACCTACGACTATTAATGGAAACTTTTTTTACGCTAGAGAACAGAACAGAACAGAAATTTTCGCAAAATTAAATTTTTTTCTTCAAATTTTTTACTATTTTTCTTTTTCCACAGAAATCATTTGCGATTTTCGCCTTATGTAGGCGCTTATTTAAAAAATATAAATTGGATTAATAAAAGAACGTAAGTTTCCAATGACAAAAAACGTAAAAATAGGCATATGCCCCACGCGAAGTCGTCCACTTTTGATGAATGATGAACTTTTTTTATCTCTTTCTACCCCACTAAAAAAGTTTCCCAATATTTTTTCAATTTTTTTTACCCTTGAAATATAAAAATAAACAAAAGGTTTTCAATGAAAAAAAAAGTAGAAAGATAAGTCCAACTTTAGGAAAAGCCGCATTAATCGCAGAACAAATCGTTTTTTATATAAAAAAAAAATTAAATTGCAGATTTTTTCAAAAAAAAAAAAATTGAAAAAATCCTTGGAAACATTTTTAGTGGGGTAGAAAAATATAAAAAAAAATCAGTCAAATCGAAAGGGGTCGGGTTCAAAAGCGGTCGATTTGGCGATGAAAAAAATGTAAAAAAAAAACAGTACAAATTCGAAAAATGCTCAGTGTCGCACCCGTTACAATGGAAATACGCTTATTTAAAAAAATCGAAAATATTTGATTGGATTAATAAAAGAACGTTTCCAATGACAAAAAACGTATAAATAGGCATATGCCCCACGCAAAATCGTCCACTTTTGATTTGGATGAACTTTTTTTTATCTTTTTCTACCCCACTAAAAAAGTTCCCCAATATTTTTTCAATTTTTTTTACCCTTGGGTTGGACCCTAAAAAATTGATTTTATTATAGAAATAAAAAGTTTTCAATGAAAAAAAAAGTAGAAAGATAAGTCCAACTTTATGCCAAAAAACGTAAAAATAGGCATATGCCCCACGCGAAATCGTCCACTTTTGATGGATGAAGAACTTTTTTTTATCTTTTTCTACCCCAATAAAAAAGTTTCCCAATATTTTTTCAATTTATTTTACCCTTGAAATATAGAAATAAAAAAAAGGTTTTCAATGAATAAAAGTAGAAAGATAAGTCCAACTTTAGGAAAAGCCGCATTAATGACAGAATAAATCGTTTATATATATAAAAAAAAATTAAATTGCAGATTTTTCTAAAAAAAAATTGAAAAAATCCTTGAAAACATTTTTAGTGGGGTAGAAAAATATAAAAAATCTGTCAAATCGAAAGGGGTCGGGTTCAAAAGCGGTCGATTTGGCGATGAAAAAAATGTAAAAAAAAAACAGTACAAATTCGAAAAAAGCTCAGTGTCGCACCCGTTACAATGGAAATACCCTTATTTAAAAAAAATCGGAAATATTTGATTGGATTAATAAAAGAACGTTTCCAATGAGAAAAAACGTAAAAATAGGCATATGCCCCACGCGAAATCGTCCACTTTTGATTTGGATGAACTTTTTTTTATTTTTCTACCCCAATAAAAAAGTTTTCCAATATTTTTTCAATTTTTTTTACCCTTGGGTTGGGTTAAAAAAAAACGGTAAAAAAACAAAGTATAGTATAGTACAAACTGGAAAACTTTCCAGGTAACCCCCTTTTTGCATTCGTAAATTTCTACCGACAATACAATTCATTAATATTAGAACCAATAAAATGCCAGTATTCCATAGTGACGTATTTTATCACACCGGCAATAATTTTTATCATCTTGTTTACACGTTACTATGAATTTTGACGTTTTTTTGATTTGACATGTGTTGTCATTTAAATTCTGTTTTTGATATATATTAATAAAATAATGAATTATAAACTCTAAAAGATCGATGGGTTGGTGTAAACGATAATGAAATTAAGGTAAGTTTGAATAAATAAGGTTTAGTAAAGTCTTTTTATATTTTAAAGCACATTTTAATTTCAAATGTCAAACTAAAAATTCGTTAAATCCTAAAATTCATTATATTTTCTCACTAAATATAACTCGTGGTATGATTAATTATCGATGATATTTACTCATTAAAACCGAAGCAGCACATTTCACTCGTCCTGCGGACTCGTGAAATCTGCAGCTCGGTTTCAATTCGAAAATATCATCGATGATAATCATACCACTTGTTATATTATGGGTGACAATACTCGCAAATTTGCGATTTTCGCCTAAAATTCGGAAATATTTAATTGGATTAATAAAAGAACGTAAGTTTCCAATGACAAAAAACGTAAAAATAGGCATATGCCCCACGCGAAATCGTCCACTTTTGATGGATTTTCAAAAAAATCGAAAAAATCCTTGGAAACATTTTTAGTGGGGTAGAAAAATATAAAAAAAATCAGTCAAATCGAAAGGGGTCGGGTTCAAAAGCGGTCGATTTGGCGATGAAAAAAATGTAAATAAAAACCGTACAAATTCTAAAAAAGCTCAGTGTCGCACCCGTTACAATGAAAATACCATTATTTAAAAAAAAATCGGAAATATTTGATTGGATAAATAAAAGAACGTTTCCAATGATAAAAAACGTATAAATAGGCATAAGCCCCACGCAAAATCGTCCACTTTTGATTTGGATGAACTTTTTTTTATATTTTTCTACCCCACTAAAAAATTCCCCAATATTTTTTCAATTTTTTTTACCCTTGGGTTGGACCCTAAAAAATTGATTTTATTATAGAAATAAAAAGTTTTCAATGAAAAAAAAAGTAGAAAGATAAGTCCAACTTTAGGAAAAGCCGCATTAATCGCAGAATAAATCGTTTTTTATGAAAACAATTAAATTGCAGATTCTTCTGAAATAAAAAATTTAAAAAATCCTTCAAAACATTTTTAGTGGGATATAAAAATAATAAAAAAATCAGTCAAATCGAAAGGGGTCGGGTTCAAAAGCAGTCGATTTGGCGATGCAAAAGATGTAAAAAAAACATTAAAAAAAACTAAAAAAAACAAAGTATAGTATAGTGCAAACTCGAAAAAAGCTCGTGGAAATCTACAAAAATACCATTTTTCGTAAATTTCTACCGGCAAAAAATTCGGAAATATTTAATTGGATTAATAAAAGAACGTAAGTTTCCAATGACAAAAAACGTAAAAATAGGCATATGCCCCACGCGAAATCGTCCACTTTTGATGGATGATGAACTTTTTCTACCCCACTAAAAAAGTTTCCCAATACTTTTCAATTTTTTTTTACCCTTGAAATATAGGAATAAAAAAAAGGTTTTCAATGAAAAAAAAAGTAGAAAGATAAGTCCAACTTTAGGAAAAGCCGCATTAATCGCAGAATAAATCGTTTTTTATAAAAAATAATTAAATTGCAGATTTTTTTAAGAAAAATATAAAAAAAACAGTTAAACCGAAAGGGGTCGGGTTCAAAAGCGGTCGATTTGGCGATGAAAAAAATGTAAAAAAAAAAACAGTACAAATTCGAAAAAAGCTCGTGAAAATCTACAAAAATACCATTTTGAAAACTTGGAAAACAAATTGAAGAAATGCGTTCAAATGATTTTGAATGCATCTTCCAACAAGATGGTGCAGCTAAAAAAGTGAAAGCTTGGATGATAGAAAATAATATTTCACTTTTAAAATGGACCGTCTTAGAGTTGCGTGTTCGCCTGCAAGAAATTTGGAATAAAGGAGATGTTACGCAGTGGTAGTTTCCAATTAAAATGTATTTATTTAAAAAAAAAATTTTTTCTTAATTTTTGGTTTACGGACAATATAAGAGAATTTTAAATATTTTTTTATAAGGTACCTAGGTACTTAAAAATGCAATTTAACGGTAGAAAATTTAATAAACGTTATTTATTTAATTAAAACAATGTGTTAATTTTAATTAATTACCGTATAATATTCTAAATATCTTCAAAAAACTATTTTTGTTAGTTGGTCCAACTTCAGTGAGACAGGGCTCGTAGTAAATTATTCACGATTTGTGGGTATTTTTGGAACGAACGCTCTTACCGTTTGGCGACTGTGCGTCATCTTCGGCACCGTCGTCCTCATCCTCCTCCTCCTCGATCCCGTCCTCGTCCTCCTCCTCTTCGACAGCCTCGTAATCCCCTTCGTCGGACATCTCGTCCAGATTTTCGGAGTAGACGGCGCCCAGGCCGACGCTCTCCTCCAGCTCGTCGTCGTCGTCGTCAGAGCTGGCCGCCTCCTCCTCCGAATCATCGTCGTTGCCGTTCACCTCCTCCTCGGCGTCGCTGTCCTCGGCCTCGCCGTCATCAGCGTCGTAACTGAAATGCGCCATCTCTACTCAACATTTTTGTTTTTGCTATTTTACCCCAAAAAAACTATCCGTCATTTATTAACCCGAGAACGCTAGCGGCTTAAAAGTTAAGCAAAAGCTATAGTCCGGGAGGCAGTGAAGATTATTATTATTATCTTTTTATTTTCCCAGTTTGTGAATGTCATTAAGTTTGTTCAAATGGTGACACAAAACGACAATTTGTGTGTCTGGCTAAAATTTTCGGATGGGTTCACTAGATGAGCCAAAAAGTCAAGTCCACTTATTTTCCCAGTCATAAATATTTCACATTAATTAAAGTGAGTCATTTTATTAATGGAAATAACAGTCTGGCACATCCCAAGTGAAGGAAAGTCAGTCTGGCTGAAAATTTGCGGAAGCAAAAATTTGACCGGTTTTTGAAATACGTAGCCCTTATTTTCCCATGCTTAAAATTTAACCCATTATTTGGTACTGTCATAAACTATAATCAAAATTAAGTCTGGCTGATTTATGAAATTGGCAAATTGTTCTGGCGGCATCTTGAAAATCGTAAGAATTACAAAAATTTTGCTCTTATTTTCCCGGATTTGAAAATTTGTCACATGATAAATAATACTATAATTTCGTAGAAAATAAACGTCTGGCTGTTATTTACAATCACGAAAGCCCCGCCAGACTCACAAGTCAGATAGCAGAAACTCGCGTTTGAATGGGAATTTTCGCGATTTTCTTTTTTTTTATTGATATAACTCAAAAACTAAGGGAGATATAAAAGACTGTCAAGAAATCGATTTTGTAGAGAATCCTACAAAAAACAACTGCACAAATTTTCTCGTATCTCTGATAGTTACAAAGTTATTAGCCATATTTAAATTTTGCTTTACACAAATTATTTTCTTATCATACATTTTGAAAAGTAAAAACATGTAGAGATGACAACAATCGCCTGTATAATTGAACATGCCGAATTTAGCGCGCCTGTGGAGGGTTGGACGAGTCTGGCAAGGCTTTCGGAGTGTTCCACATTAGCCAGACTATATTTGCAGCTGTAATTATAATATAAACTATCATCTCACAAAATTTTTAGGGCTGCGAAAATAAGGGCAATGGTTTTGATAATTTTTCCACCTCACAGATTAGCCAGACTATTTTTTTTCTTAAGTTCACTATATCTCTCACTAATGGAATTATTTTTATCACTGAAAAAAAAAGTGCAATATATTTGTACTTTATAACGCATTTTCCGCCTTAACTCATCGGAAAACCCCCCCTAAATATATATAAATTTTGCTCAGAATAACAAACCCAATAATTGTATCGGTGTTTGCCGACTGGGAAAATAAGTACCGAAAATCTTCACTGCCTCCCGGACTACTAGGAAGCCGGTCGTTTTGACCGATTCTGGAAAGTTCAGTAATTAAACAATTTTCTATGGTAATATGGGTACGCTCACTTTCCAAAATGACCACAATTAGCTCTTGTTTTTGCAATACTTATTGTGAAAAAAAAGCTTTTCTTTACAAACGTTAATATTCGTATATGTACTATGCTCCACACCTCAAAGTCCCACCACGTGACCACGTACGGAACGCAGTCTTTTGAAAATTTGGCATTTAAGGCTTTTCAGGTTATGTATCTGTCAAAGTATAGTCAACGAAAGAAATAATATTATGTTTAGGCGTTAAAAATGTATAAATCTTTATAACATTACTATAACAATGGATGGTTTAAGAATATAAATACTGCATTTAATCAAATTCCAAAGTGTATGGTGCCAAATAAGTAATATTTTTGTGCATTTGGTCCAAATATCTGGTTTTCTCCATAAAGTAATTTTAACTAAACAGGGGTGCGTTCATGAAGCTTTACCTGAGTAGAGTTAATATGGCGTCGTGTAAACTCATAGTGCTTGATTTATTTTATGCCGTCATGAACGACTCTGAGTAAAAACAACTTAACCTTATTTTCTGACATTTTAAATTTAATTTATGCATAAATAACATGTAAACTTAAATTATATTTTATTATATTTAATATGGATAGAGTTAAAAAACTTTCAGCGTTCACTTTAATTGTCCATTGAAGTTGTTTAACTAAAATTTTTATGTTATTACTTATAAAATAAAAGTAATTATGGGAAATACATACGCATATTATCTTGAACCAGTAACAATCCGTCTTCGTTATAGATGATATTACCCTCAGGGTCAGTCACAATGGTATAATTATCCATTATTTAATTAATTTAGCAACTATATCACAAATAGCAACAACGATTTCTATATAAACACAAATACCAATAACCTCAATTTAAATTCAAATTTGACAATTCAAATTCAACTTTGACAATTCAAATTCAAATTTGACAATAACATACTACAATGCGCATGCGGAGTTATTTTAACGCACCTACAAGAGGTGGGTTAAAAATGTAAACTCGGTGTTAAATATCCTGGTAGTCACGAACGATTTAGTCAAGTTAAAGTGTAGATACCGCTGTTGTAATGAACGTTTTGAGTTAACTCCGAGTGAATCGAGTAAACATCATGAACGCACCCCAGCATTTATTAAAAAAAATCTAGCTTCTCTATTATGGAATAAGAATATCTGTTTTAAAGGAAGGTTAATATATTATAACAAAAATATCATCTAATTTTGTAATTTTAAGGTTGGAAAAATTTATTTTGACCAAAATAAATAAGTATTTTGGATTATTTAAAAGACTGTATAGTCGCGGCCAAATCTGTATGGGTGCACGTCATCAACGGCATATGACGTCAGCGTTAAGGTCTATTCATACGTGCCCAGACACAATCTAACGCTCGTATATTGTTGACTGTTTATAGCGGTGGGGGCTGTTATTAAGATGGAATTATAACACAGACCTACAAACAAGTTGTTTGTAGGTCTGTGAATTATAACGTCCTTGTATAATCTTCTGCACTAACTAATTAGGAGTTTGTTACAGGCAAATTTTTATTAAATGTGTTTAAAGAGAAAACAAACGGAGTTTATTACATTTTTATTACATATGCACATAACAAAAAAATACTTAATTATCAGAAACACAAAAATAATAAATTACCAGTCGTCCTTGTCATCAGAGCAAACCAGGTCAGAATTTAAGTCTGATTATTTCCCCAAATTTATTATTAAGGGCGCAATATCTTCGAAATCTAATAACGGCTAGTTGCCAAAAGGCCTTATATCATTGTTTGCACAATCCAGGGATTGAATCTTATAAACATAATGTATAATATTATTTATAATAATTTGCAACAAACGATGCTTCCGGACGAAATGTCACAATTACAAAAATACGTCAAATATAAAATGACAGCGACCCATCAATAATATTGAACGGTGCGCGCCAGCCTTAAGCTATTACCAACTGGCACACACAAAAATTACTAAGTGAATGGTTTTATTTTGATAATTTCGTGAAAAAACGTTTTAAAACAAGGAAATTATTACAGTTCTTGGTAAACAATACGCAAATGAATGATTTCTTTTTAATAACACATCAGAATTACGCCTTAAAAAAGCAAATTTAACGGCAGTAACTTTACAATTCAAAGTTGGTAATGCTGACGTCATTATATCTCATTGATGACGTGCACCCATATAGATTTGGCCGTGACTATATAATATGGTATTTAAAAATGTGGTACTTTTTCTTATCCAGCTTAAAGTGTACCTACATAAAGTTTTGTCAATACAAATAGTTAAAAAGCTTTAACTGAACTTGATCTACATCAAAAAATCATTATAACTTTAAAAATTTTAATAAATCACATGTCATAGAAGTATTCAATATTTTCACATTGCAAGTTTCTCTAAAAATTGTTTGTTTTCTTATAATCTAACTTAAAGTAGGTATGCCGAGAGGTATGCACAAGTTTTGTCATTAGAAGTATAAAAGCTTCAATTTAATTTAAACCATATTCAACAATTATTTAGTATACCTATATTTATTTATGACCATTAACACACTCTTCCAAATAATCCACTTATTCATTTTGGAAAATAGATTTTTTTTAACCTTAAAATACAAAATTAGGTGATATTTTTTGTTCTAATACATTAACCTACCTTTGATACAGATATTCTTATTTCATAATAGAGAAGTTAGATTTTTTTTAATAAATGCTGTTTAGTTAAAACTATTTTATGAAGAAATGTAGACCCAATGCACAAAAATATCACTTATATTGCACCTTACACTTTGGAATTTCATTAAATGCAGTATTTATATTCCTAAATTCTTAAACCAACCATTGTTATTGTGATACTATAAAGATTTATTAACTTTTAACGCTTAAACATAAGCGGTAACACTATAAATATTATTTCTTTCATTGACTATACTTTGACAGATACATAACCTGAAAAGCCTTAAATGCCAAATTTTCAAAAGACGTGGTCACGTGGTGGGACTTTGAGGTGTGGAGCATAGTACATATATTTTTTTAATCAAATACTGAGGATTATTGGAAAATATCATGATATTTATATAAATATCCAAAATTTAATATCTATTTCAAAATTTGGATATTTATTTCTTTTTTTTATTATAACTATTTACTGCTTAGAGAATTAAAGATATGTTTAAAATTCAAAATTACTTAATTTAATATAATTTTAAAATTTTATAAACATGTAAATTTGTATTTCAATTCTATTCTATTCAATGAAAGTTGCTATCACAATAACAAGTTTTTTTAGTACTAGTATGTATAGAAATGTAAAATTAAATTAAAATGAACCAAAACTGGATTTTTTTATTTTTGGCATTGTAAAATTTTATTTGATAAAAGAAACAGCAAAATATTGATCCCTCCAATCAGAAATCGGAACTAAAAATACCTCGCTGCTCGCGGCATAGAATAAATTAACAGGTTTTTCGTATTTTTTACAAACAATTCGGTGACAATATTGGTAGAAAGTTACTACGATTGGTTTCTTTAAGAAACCTTCTTATAAAACGTTGAGGAAGACAACTCTTTAATTTTGTATGACGATTTTTTGTTTCTAAATGTCCCCCCTAAAGCTGGAGGAGCAAAGTTAGCAGAATGAAAGTTTTATAATGCCTTAATAAGGTTAGCATTTTATTGGCACCTAATTATTGGATTATAAAATTTGCAGTTTGCTATACAGAGTCTTAATGGGATGCTAATAATTCAATTCAATTCAAAAAAATTGTTTTTTCTTAATATCTTTGAAACCACTTTATATATTTATTTTTCAATTTTATAAGGGATCCATAAAAATATTTTTTGTAAACAAATTGGCATTCCTTTTTTAAAAATTAGATATTTGAGAAGTATCTGTTGATAAAATTGGCATGGGGTTAAGACTTGAATATCTGAAAATCCTTATAAGTTTGTTATTTCTGGGAATTTTGAAAAAAAGTAATTTTTACAGTGTTTCTAAATTTTCATTTAATTTCTTTGCTACCATATTTAAGTTGCCATTACCATCTTTTGTTTTTATAATGGCTGTTACAACTTATGTAGTAAGTCATTAGATTCCTTGATTATTTTACTATCAAACCATGTAAAATTTCAATATGGTGGCCATAGGAAAACAAAAGATGGTGGTGGTAACTCAAAATCCAGTAGACCAAAAAAAATAGGAACAAATGTAAATAAATGTGTATGTACTTTTTTCAAAATTCCCAGAAATAACAAAGTTATAACGACTTCTGATTTGGAGAGTCTATTAAAATGGCATTTAAAAACTGCGGTTCTTAAATAATTAAAAAAAACTAAAAACCTGTCAAAACCAAAAATCGTTATAGCTTCGTTATTACTGGGAATTTTGTTTCACATGTTGCCATTTGCCTGCTAGATTTTGAGATACCACCACCATCTTTTGTTTTTACTATGGCTGCCATTGGAATTTTACATGGTTAGAGAGAAAAAAATCAAGGATGCCAATGATTTATCAAACTACATAAGTTATGGCGACCATTATAAAAACAAACACATAGTAGCAAAGAAATTGGATGAAAATGTAGATTAATGAATAATATAATACATACATTGTATAGGTATGTTTGAGGTTTTCTTAAAAGTTCAAAAAGGTAACAAAAAGTTCTGCTCAGGTTGACTTAAAAAAATTACCTTTTTTATATAAGTAGTTCCAATTAAATCAAATTAAAAATTAACTTACCCATCCAAGTACTTTAAGTTAGGTATCATTTTAAATATTTTTTCCCGATAGCTATCCAGAGTTGTAACTTCATTGTTAAACAAATCAAGATTCTTCAGGTTCTTGAAATTTTTTAATGGTTCCAATGTGGCCAAATCTTTAATTTTATTTCCACTTAAGTTCAGATGTGTGATTTTTGAACTGGTTTCCAATAAGTTCAGCCCATTATTTATCCTAAAATTAAGACCACAATAAATATCTAAATGTTGCTGTTGAATAGAATGCGTAATGTCTATTTTGATTAATACAAATATTATACATAAATATTATATATAATATAGGTATACATTAAATGTAATTTTCATTAAAATGTTGTGAAAAAATTAATATTTTCTTTGTAGGAAGTTTCAATGATATTCAAAGTTCCTAGTCTTTATTTGGCTGATAATATTTTTTAGTTAAGGTAATACAAATTAAAGAAATTCCGCAAAATATATAATTATTTCATATGAAAAAGCTAAAACCATGTGCCACACACCTGTTATCACTCAACTCCAATTTTTTGAGGTTGGGTAGTTTGGGAAAACCTTTAAGTGATGTCAATCCCACATTTATCAGAGATAAACTTTCCAAGTTAGAAAATTCATCTGTTAAACCGACAATGCATGTACTACGGCAATTATCTAGGTTTAACTCTCGTATCTAAAAGGAAAATATTAACATTAATAAAAAGTTGAAGTTTAACATTCTTCAAACACATATTTTAGCTTAAGTTTACATTCTTATTGAAACATATCTAGCTTTACATTTAACAACATTTTTAAGTTAAATCTTGCAGAGTAATTTCTTAAATGTAGGCAAAAAACAAAAAAAATATAAAGTTATGTGTTTAAATTTATAAAATAAGCTATTTTTTAAATATAAACACACATAATTTCAGTTTCTAAAAATGTAGAGTTACGCTAAAAATTCAGTTCCGGCAAATGATGGTTTTTATTATATGCTTGGGTATGCATGTTTTAAAACTTTAAAAACAACTTCAAGAAATCCCATTCAATAAAAAGCTATTACATAAAGTAACTAAAAAATTAAAATAAGAACATCTTTTAACAAGTATTTCAAGTAGAAATGCAAAATTTAAATGAAAAGCTGCATGGCGTTTTATAAACTGCGTTGAAAAAGGTGCATGTAACTGAAAACGATGAATATATTAATGCAAATTCATTGCATGAAAAAGAATCGGCACATGTATAAAAATGACGACACCTTTTAATATTAACAACAATAACAGAATCGAAATTACTTACATCTTCAGGATTTTTTCCCCTTTTTTCCAATTCTATACGTTTCTCCATCCCAATATCGTTTGAGTGTTAAAATCGAAGCACAAAAAATCCACACAAATCAAGACTTAATCCTAAAACGTAACCTCGCTGCCAAAGTAAGCTTGCAAACTCAAACCGCGAAGACAGAAGAAACTCATCGATTAGCCACCACGGCGTTTACGGCGCCTCAATGTAACTCTAGAGGGGTACCTACAATAACATTATAGAATTAGTGGCGGGAGATTTTTCGGCCAATCAGCGTCTGTATATCGTTAATGTTACAGAGATCTTCTTTACCTTCCGCGGTCTGACTGCCAACAGTGTTGCCGCTAATCGTGAAATAAAATTCTTACTGGGAACGATGAAATTTTCTTTCCAACAAGAAACGAAATTACAATTAATTAATATTATTTGTTTTATTAAATGGTACTTTTATTTTTACTATTTACTAAAAAATTAAAGTACCTACCTATTTAGTTTAATTTAACGTTAAAAAATTTCCGAATAAGTATATTTCCCACGAATTGGCAAGACTGCAGGCAAATATTTTTGTCGAAGAAATGCCGGTTTATGTTTACCCAGGGCCATATTACCCATTAGGCAGGCAAGGCAATTGCCTTAGGCGCCACGTAGAAATAGGCGCCTTGTCCCCAAGCAACTTAAAAAAAAATAAAAATTGTTCCCAAAATGTTTATTTTTTCCAAAAATAAAACAAATAAACAATACCTATACAATTGTAATAACAGAATATTATTTACTGTTTTTATTATTTTATAAAAATTTAGCTTCCTTTGTAATAACGAGGTGTAAAGCCGACAAAAAAGCGTGCCGCAAATTCACTTCTGTTTTTATGCCAAATACATAGATGTATTTCAGATAAAATTAATCAGGTGTTATATCACCATGCTTGATTACGAGGGCACTGCGTTTTGAAGTAGAATAAGATATTTTATTATTAACTGTATAATTAAAAAATAATAATAAATCCTAACGTTAAACTACAAACAAAAACTTAAAAGATAATTTAATTTGTAAACTTTACCCTGTATAAACATATCTTTAGCACTCTTTAAACTATTTCAAAACCCCCGTATGCTCCAAGCACACGGATTCCTTTTGCATCGGGTACCCGCTGTGATGTGCTGCTGACCCCAGTGGGTACGCGATACTAGAGGAAACTGCTGCCGGAAGGACTTGGGTGTTTTCGCGTTTATTCAGGAGTGGCACTTCAATGTGTTGTGTGTTTGGTGATAGCAGTCTGTGTTCGATAGTTAAGGTTGATTTAGCCTGGCTTTTAAATTAAATTACGTTACGTTAGATTACGTTACACAAAATGCTGGCTAAATCCAAATTTAGATAGTGTTAATTTTTCTGTTTGTTTTAAGGTATTTCTGAAATTTTAATATTAAACTTATTACAATAAACCAGCAGTACATTTAACATCCAAATACAGAAAATTAAAGTTGATTTAATTTTTTTTAAATACTTACTAATGACATCTTGCAGAAAAACGCACTTATAAGTCCTAACTTTTTATTTACATTATATTTGTTATGTTTGTATATTATTTATGTTTTTTTATGTATTTTTTTAATGATAAAAAGTATTCTAATTCATAGGGAATAATTAGGTTATAATGCTCGGGCACCCTTAAGGTAACAGTTTGGGGTGGCTCCAATAAGCTTTTTTAAAATTTGCCCAGGGCCCCGTAAGTATAGTATCTAGTTAGAGGAGCCAAATTTTTAAGTGCCTAAGGCGCTCAATTGCCTTAAGCCGGCTCTGTGTTTACCTATAAGCTATAGCTATAATATATTATATGAACAACATAAAACAATATACATATTAATATATTTATGATTTATCATCATAAATAACATTTTTAACTTGGAAAATTTTATTCCTGGTGGATGCTAATGCAGTAATTTCTTTCTAATTACTGCTGTCGGTGGAAGACAGTGTTGTCAGGTGAAGCAAAACAAAAAGTTCTCTATTTAATGGTATTTAATAGTACACATTTCATTTTGAAAGGTCCAAAATTTTTATTGAAATCGTGTTTATAATTCTCCAACTGTCAAATCACAGAAGTTCTGTGACAGAACACTAATAATACCATAGATAATAAATAATAATAATACATTATTCAGAAATTCAGGAAATTACAGAACAACATGTATCGGTTGCGCCGTTCAACTTGCGCGCTTCTCTGGTTTGATATCACAAACATTTAATAGAGGGAGCAGGAAAATGTAATTTGTCTTGCCTACCTACGAGGTGCTGCATACATACTGCACCTCAGGTGCAGTATGTATGGGTAGGCAAGACAAATTACATTTTCTATCATAATGGTGGTCCCAAATTTACACTAGAGGCTAAATGTAGCAAAGTATCACAATCCAACCTGCCCTTAGGGTATATCGTCGCCTTCAGGAGAAAATTGCTTAACTCCATGTAGTAAAATCAGGGCCGGGCCTAAGGGGGGTGTAGGGGGGAGTCACCCCCCCCAAAGTCCTGGCAGTTGGTTCCAAATCCAAACACGGTTGGCAAAATCTATAGTATTTGGGTCGGTTGGTTGGGTATACCTACCCTACCAACCAACCCATCACAATAAATAAAATGAAATATAATTTTTAAACTTTACCTACATATTACAAAATTATAATTTTTAATCTATTGTATCCTCCAAGAAAATTGTATTGGTCAACCTTATTTTTATTAAAGGACATTATATTTCACACAAGCGGCATGTACAAAGTAAAACTAGTGTCAATAAATAGGAATTAATTTTTTTTTAATATGGAAAAGAAAGCTAGACCGGGCCGAGTTCTAGTAAAATGCTCATTATGTGGATCTGTGTTTAACAGGACTAGAAAAAATGCACGAGGAAAATATTCACGGTGGAAATTTGGTTAAAATTAAAATTGTTACTGTTCCGAATAATCCACTTACATTGGTAGCAAATAAAAAAAATAGAGACTTCAAAAGAGCATGCTAATGGTAGGTAAAGACATTCTTTATCTACACTTTACAACACTTTACATTCATGATAAAACTACTGAAAATTTTTACTATTACTACTAAAATATCGATAAAAAAATAAGTTGGTTTTTTTTTATCTTCTCCACCCCCCCAAAAAAGTGTGCCTCGGTACGCCCCTGAGTAAAATTTTACAGGAGGAAAGAAAAACAAATTAAAGGTGTATTGGTGTATCTCCACATTACCGCCAAATTGTTTAATGGAAAATTACGTTTAAAGGGCACATCATATATGTGCGCAATGGGGTTTAACGTGTGCCTTATTTGGTACATAATCAAAAATATTAAAGATAAAATTCTGAAATATGAGCCAAAAAGCAAAAAAACTCCCCTTTCGGGGGATGAAATTAGGGGAAGCGGAAAGAAATTTTTAAGGAATATTCTTGATTCATTATCAGCACCCCTGCCTATACATAAAAAAAAATAATACCTGACTACCATCGAGTTTTCCTTCTACAATCTTTGTTTCCTGGACTTAATATTAATATTAATATTAATAAATACACAGTACAACAGTGCAAAAGGGAATGGAATGAAACCTATAGCAAATGAAAGGCAATAACTTTAACAACAAAAACCTATGAGGTTTTTTTTAGATCACGTCTCAGTTTTTTATTATACGCATTTAAAGTTTGTAGATTTTTGGACACCCTATATGATAAAAAGTATTCTAATTCATAGGGAATAATTAGGTTATAATGCTCGGGCACCCTTAAGGTAACAGTTTGGGGTGGCTCCAATAAGCTTTTTTAAAATTTGCCCAGGGCCCCGTAAGTATAGTATCTAGTTAGAGGAGCCAAATTTTTAAGTGCCTAAGGCGCTCAATTGCCTTAAGCCGGCTCTGTGTTTACCTATAAGCTATAGCTATAATATATTATATGAACAACATAAAACAATATACATATTAATATATTTATGATTTATCATCATAAATAACATTTTTAACTTGGAAAATTTTATTCCTGGTGGATGCTAATGCAGTAATTTCTTTCTAATTACTGCTGTCGGTGGAAGACAGTGTTGTCAGGTGAAGCAAAACAAAAAGTTCTCTATTTAATGGTATTTAATAGTACACATTTCATTTTGAAAGGTCCAAAATTTTTATTGAAATCGTGTTTATAATTCTCCAACTGTCAAATCACAGAAGTTCTGTGACAGAACACTAATAATACCATAGATAATAAATAATAATAATACATTATTCAGAAATTCAGGAAATTACAGAACAACATGTATCGGTTGCGCCGTTCAACTTGCGCGCTTCTCTGGTTTGATATCACAAACATTTAATAGAGGGAGCAGGAAAATGTAATTTGTCTTGCCTACCTACGAGGTGCTGCATACATACTGCACCTCAGGTGCAGTATGTATGGGTAGGCAAGACAAATTACATTTTCTATCATAATGGTGGTCCCAAATTTACACTAGAGGCTAAATGTAGCAAAGTATCACAATCCAACCTGCCCTTAGGGTATATCGTCGCCTTCAGGAGAAAATTGCTTAACTCCATGTAGTAAAATCAGGGCCGGGCCTAAGGGGGGTGTAGGGGGGAGTCACCCCCCCCAAAGTCCTGGCAGTTGGTTCCAAATCCAAACACGGTTGGCAAAATCTATAGTATTTGGGTCGGTTGGTTGGGTATACCTACCCTACCAACCAACCCATCACAATAAATAAAATGAAATATAATTTTTAAACTTTACCTACATATTACAAAATTATAATTTTTAATCTATTGTATCCTCCAAGAAAATTGTATTGGTCAACCTTATTTTTATTAAAGGACATTATATTTCACACAAGCGGCATGTACAAAGTAAAACTAGTGTCAATAAATAGGAATTAATTTTTTTTTAATATGGAAAAGAAAGCTAGACCGGGCCGAGTTCTAGTAAAATGCTCATTATGTGGATCTGTGTTTAACAGGACTAGAAAAAATGCACGAGGAAAATATTCACGGTGGAAATTTGGTTAAAATTAAAATTGTTACTGTTCCGAATAATCCACTTACATTGGTAGCAAATAAAAAAAATAGAGACTTCAAAAGAGCATGCTAATGGTAGGTAAAGACATTCTTTATCTACACTTTACAACACTTTACATTCATGATAAAACTACTGAAAATTTTTACTATTACTACTAAAATATCGATAAAAAAATAAGTTGGTTTTTTTTTATCTTCTCCACCCCCCCAAAAAAGTGTGCCTCGGTACGCCCCTG